AAAACGTATTTTCCAATATACAACACAAACAAACAAGAATTCCCACACTTGGACATATCTGTATTGAATAAAGGCCGTGATTAATAAAAGATGGTTACGTGAGCACTTAAAATTATAATAAGAATCAAGTTTATAAATTACTTAATTTTCTATTTCAAATTAAAATTATTGACTTTACAATTAGAACTTATGTTTCTTTACCTCATAGTTTTCTGAATGAATATTAACTAGAAACTGTAATCAAAGGGCATTTAGCTCCAACTTTCACTGATTTCACTTATTACATTATTCGTAAGACTTTATTTCTTTAAAAATTTAAATTAAAGTAGCGACATCCGTTAACAGAATTGTGCCATCTGTCCATTGTTCTTATAATTATAATGCATTAACCAAGGCCGACCAGTATGGGATAATATGCGAAAAACTCACAGTTGCATTTGAATTGTCATCAAGATAGATTATTGCCTCTGCCAAGTAAATAAAAGAAAAAAATCTGTTGATAAATCTTTCAACTGTTTGTGTTAGTTAGTGGGCTGAATTTTTTTTTTTTAGACGAACATAAAGGAACAAAACGCTCGACGTGTAATCAGTTGCGGTATTTTGGAAACTCCACGTTTCGGTAGAAAAAGTAATTTCTTCTTTACGCCGGGAACCAGGGTAAGAGATTTTTACAAATTCCTTCAATAATAGTTTCCTTCTGATGCGGTCTGACTGGACCATTTCAAGAATGTTTACCTTATTATATTGCACATCTTTAGGTCAACTTCGAATGCAACCAAGACTTCATCCTAATAGGCGACAAGCGTCGAGTTTGTGAAGACAACGGCCGATGGAATCTTCCAGATTATGGATATACGGAGTGTCTACGTGAGTACCACATTTTAATAGCTTTTACAAAACAATCATGATCCATTTTGCGTCTTAAATACACCCAGAATTAAGTATACAAATTCATAAATTCGCTTAATTAACAAATTAACCTCAAGTATTTCATATCCAGGTAACCAAGAGTACTCGCAACGCGCTCTATTCTTGACTTGGGGCATCATCGTGGCAGTTATTCTACCATTAGGCCTTCTCATTTGCCTCATTTGGTTCTGGTGTTGCCATAAGCCAAGATCCGAGGGCAAAGAGACATTCAACTTCCAGAATATTCCACGATCGAAATCTGCATCGCGACTCAATCTAAGATCTTCCTCAATGGGGAACATCACAGATACAATGAAATCGTCCACTTTACCCGATACCCCTACCGAAGAGAAACAAAAGGCGAGCTTAGTCAGGTCTGCCCCACCCCCTCCCACTGACGGAGAAAGTTCCGGCTTAGGGTACACAGATTCCAACAAAAGTGACTCCGGAAAATCGGACAAGTCCAATTTGCCCAAAAAACGTCGAGCCTACGATAAAACTTACCGTACCAATGAGCCCTTACCGAACGCACCCGATGTTGAGTTCCCCGAAAAGCTTTGGGATTTATCTGAAGAAGATTTGCTTTCTATAACTTCCCCATCGGATTCTGAATCCAATCGTGAGTCGACTTTGACTCGACCAGCTAAAGATATCGAATATGTTAGTAAGCCACGTCAGACTGGACGTAACGCGCTTCCCAGTGACTCTGGTTATTCCACAAAAGACGGCTCAGAAGATCCTTACGCGCCCAAGTACGAGGACCAATACAGCCCTATCCCTTCCCAATATTCGCCTACTTACTCTGAAATCTATTCTCCACCAATAAGCCCTACTTCGGATGTCAGTCCCAGAAACACTTATAACAATCCCGGTTTACCAGAAGCACCTAAAAGTGCGCCTCCTACTGAAATCAAAACTTTCACAATGCCTCCTCAAAGAGGTAAGTCTGTAGAGACTTTGATAGACCCACCGGCCACCGAAGCCCCTACTTTTAGTAGTCGATCGACTATGGTATAGTTTCTTTCTTTTCAATACTTGACGTATCCCACTGAAGAAATAATAATAATAAGCACTGCCTACAATCTTGACAATTCAAAGTTTAATAAAATAACTTATATTCTCGATATTAAGTTACATAAGAATAATTAAGTGTTCTAGAAAATATATTCTTTAGTAAATGTGTCTGTGACGTTTCCCCATTGTTGTATAAAATAAAAATTAGTTTTACTAAATTGTTTTAAAAAAAAAATAATTAGATGTAAATTATGTAATAAATATTATATAATATATTTTAAACAATCACAGCAAGAGGAAATTTCTGTTCCGATGTATGGTAGAATAACTTCCCCATGATGTTTATATCATTTATGTGTCAAAGCGTAAGAAAGCAAGAAATAATAGTGCGGACAATTTTGTGGAATAGAAATTTTCTCTATAGTGATTTTTTCATTTATCCCTTTATCTATGTCGAGGTTATTGCTTGCTTTCTTATCGCCTTGTTCATACAAAAATTAGGGTCACAGCATTGAATAGGTGAGTACCTAAATTTTATTTGATAAAGTACTGATTGCAAAACCGACAGTAAGAAAAATCTTCGTGCGAACTTAACTAATATTATTTCTTGAAAAATGAGTTATTTTAAGCTATAATTTTAATTAATTTTGCGCCATTTGTACCATTAAACCATTTTTAATTAAAAGCAATAAGATTAAATCAATTAAATAAATTAATTTTTACCTAGTTAAGAGACAAAAATAGCGACATTTTTTATTAAGTAATTTTTAAAGCAATTAAGAAATGCTAGAATAATTACAAGATTTTACAACTAAATGAGGAAACAGTTTATAATATCATAACTTCATACAACAGGCCGTCAAGAATACTCCGCGAGGACTCTGGGAGCTACTTGGGGCATCATCAGCGCAGTCATGGTGCCTATCGTCATCCTGCTCATATGTGTTGGCTGGCGCATCCTTAAAAGAAGGAAGGAAGATGACAAGGACGAAAATGATTATCTAAACGTGAAGTAAGTATTGATAGATAATTTTAAAATAAACGTCAAACTTTAAAGTAAGTCATTTTTAAAGTCGACTACAACGACCTCGGATATAATGTTTATCAGCCAACATAAGATGCTAAATCTCCATTTAAATAGGCGGTTGTTAATTATATTCAACCGTAGACTTCCATAGTATCTTAAACACAGTTAGTAATGTAAGAAAGAAAATCCGACACTGTGCCGGTGTACTGGTGCAACACTAGCCTTACTAAAATGTCGACGTTTATGTCCCCTCACTAATCATTTTGACACTTGACTTTGTAACGAAAGCGCGCCATTCGCGCCAAAGGATTCTAATTAATAATGTCTTAAAGTAGTATTATTAATATAAATATCAAATTAATTTCCAGAACGCGATCTATAGACCCTGACGACTCTTTTAAAGTGAATTCAGACGATGACAGTATCCCTTACAAGAAGGACACCACAGAAGATACTCCAGAGCCAACAGAAGCTGTCAAAGTTGTTGATGACAATGAACAACCAACATACCCCTATGGTCAGCCATACCAAGAACAGCCACAACAAAGTCAACCGCGACAGTGGACCGGTGAAACAGAAATTAACTAAAACCTTCTTTCGCTAACAGATTCAGAGTTTGGTGGCTTGATTTCCTTCGATTTAACGACTCTGAGTTAGACAACAAAAATTACAAATTAGGTTAATATGAGTTTATAATCTTAGATGTAGTTATTTAGTAATTGCCTGGAATTGAACATTAATTATAATATTTAGATAATTCTACTTCATAACGAATTTAATTTCGTATTTTTAGCTTTATACTTTGATTTATTTTTTATTTTATAAATTATCCCACCTAGAACAAAAAATTGCATTTTTTTTAACACAAAAACATTGGAACTAAACAGAAATTTAAAGTACTATTTTCGTTTATTTCACAATCGTACAAAACAAGATAATCATAAAGTTACATAATTCATGACAATTTACTAAGAATTATAAATGAAATGAATATTATATAATATTTAATACATAGTCTATAAGGTGTGTAATTTGTTGCATTATAAAACTAGGCCGATGTTTTAAAAATACTTTTATTATTGACAATATATTTCTATGTAATGAAACATCCTCTATTGCCAACATAAGTTTTATTTGTTTTTATTTTTAAATAAATAATACCAGCTAAAATCAGTTGCCTTTTATTTTTATTTTTTCTGTGACTTTTTAAAAGGACAATTGGTGGTTTTGTGGCTTTAGTTTTGGGCGATCTCCAATATTTTTATAACATTAGAAAACATTGTAGGAAAATATTTAATCGCTTGAGCGTTCTAATATAGCACGTTGTCAATGGCCACATCGATCAACTGTCTGCGTTGCTTTAAAAATATAAAAATGTTATTTTGTTTATAATATTACGATATAAAAGTATGCTTTCCAATCTAATAAAAATGGCTTAAATTACTTTTAGAAAACAGATTTAAGTGTTCTGCTTTCTAAAAAAAAATTTTCGAACGAATTCTGACTGACTTTGACAGTCTGATTTGACATTTGACAATTATTAATTTGTTTTGATTTTAAAAGCTTTAATACTGTGCTTTAATAATTATATAGTTTATTTCATTATTTGTACAATTTATTCTAGGAATATGTTGAATAATCATGTCCAAAGTTATTTAACATGAGTGTTCTTAAACTCAATTGAGTAAGTGAATGATATAACTTATGAATAGTACTGTGTAAATATGTTATGAGTACACTTAATAATGGTCCTTTCAGTAACTTCGTTTAAATAATTCATATTTGTTATGTTTATATTTAAATTGAACAAACGAAAAATAATCTTAAATTGAGTCCAAGGAGACGACCTAAACTGTTTACACACTTAAGGGGCTCGTTTGCTTTCTTAAAAAAATACGTTTTATATATATATAGTCGTTTCTTAAGAGATATAGTTTTGCACACATTTAATTTAATAACAAAATACATAAAATTTTGCTACTGTTTCTCAATCTTTCTCCACAATTGTATGACAAACATGTACTTTATATAATTTCCATTTCAGAACCTAACATAATAATAAAAGTAGTACAATAAATCAATTAAAAATCTACCGTAAGCGCTTGCATGATGGTTTAAAAAATGAATTTAAGATCAAAGAATGTGTTCACCTTATTCTTTCGATCCTCATTCGGGTTACCGTTAGGAACATGGATTGTTGTGTCAATTGTTTACTACTGGTGGCTGATATCACGAATAAATGTCTTAGAGACACAAAACAAAGTGTTCAAATCACAATTAAAACTATCCCAGAATGTAATGAGACAAATAGAAACAGATTCTACATACAAAGTTCCAGAGGTAAGTAAATGAAAATATATTTTAGAATAAAGTTCTCTTACTAGTTGTGTCTCTTTTGTCATATTGTTATTACTGTTTTGTAAAAAAACAGACAAACAAGGATGGCAATACATATTAATACAAAAATGTACAGAGTTCTAGAAGATACAGATATTGTTTTATTTTGTATGAGAAAGAGAAAACTAACACAGAGTTAGCCTTATTGTTTATAAAGTATCCTTTTAAAATATTTCAAATAGGTGTAGCTTTTCTGAAGCTATATTAGCAAGTGAATACCTTTATCTGACATTCCGTAAAGTAGCCTTGAGACCCTCACTGGTGATGTAAAGTTAGCTAGATTTTATAAGAGTTCAACCACTGTATGATACAAACCCAACAGATGTTAAATAGTCGAGAGATAAGTAATGTGGATTTAAATCATATTATTTCCAGATTCCAGATGAAGTTGGCACACTTTGTGAGACAGTACACATAGCATTAGTATGTATGGGCAAATGTACTCGTATTATAATGCCAATGCTAAAATCACTTCTACAACATCGACAGAACCCGATACATTTTCATTTCATAGTAGACACAGCTGCGGGACAAACTATATCCAAATTATTTGATACATGGGATTTACCAGACGGTATGTAAACAATTTTATATTTTTTATTGTGTCAGAATGATGTCCTTTGAAACAGTTTGGCAGATTTTTATGAAATTTTGCTTCCATATTTAGTAAGTCTGAGAATCTATTACTATCTTTTTTAATCCCATGCGGATGGAGTCTCGGGCAACAGCAATACAGGAGTAATATTACATTGAAACCACTCTTTCATAAAACTATATTTAAGTGTGGTACAGTATTCTGTAGTATACGGTATAACAGAATAAAAAATGGATCCTTAAAATATTTTATCTATCTAACACCCCATTATTTTTAAGATTAGTTGCTTTAAGCATATAGTAAAACTATCCTGCCTTATTTTCCAGTGAAATATTCATGTTACAATGCCCAAAACCGTCTATCTCAAGTCCGTTGGGTACCGAACAGTCATTATTCAGGTATCTATGCATTAGTGAAGTTATTATTCCCGGATATCTTACCAGATACATTACAGCAAGTTATTGTATTGGATTCAGATTTGACATTTCTCTGTGATATAGCTGAACTGTGGAATATTTTTAATAATATGACTGAGAATCAGGTAAATATTATAACATTTTTGCTGTACATAAATTCATATGTAAATTATATAGTCATCCTAGTCCTTCTGTATGAAAAAAATAGAGACGAAATATGTTTTGTAAGTTTGGTAGTAGCATATCATGGTATCAGAAGCCATATTAACTGGGTTTCCGAGTTTAAAATCCCCTTTTAAAACATATTATCATCTCGGGTTTGTTAAAGATGAAAGCTAGGGAATATTATGTTAGAAACCCACAGTATATTAATTTTAATAGAAAGTACCGCATTAAATAAGATATTTAATTTTAAATCTGACTATTCTTACTGTGAGTTTCTGAGATTAAAATCTCTGTTTAAAATATATTTTCTCTGCTTTGTTTATGACATTGATGGCATGTTTTATATAGTGATTTTAGTGTCAAATCTAGTTAATATTTAAAACTTAATATAATCATGATTGATTAATTTCTTTATAGTTTCCTTATTACAGTTGTTTGGTTTAGTTGAAAATGAAAGCAATTGGTACTTTGATACAGCAAAGAGATGGCCGGCACTTGGTAGAGGTTATAATACTGGAGTAATGTTGCTGGATTTAAATAAAATACGTAATAAAATCAACTGGACGAAAGTATGGCATAGTGCGGTTAATGAGAATATAGAACTATTGAAACAGACAACTTTAGCGGACCAAGATGTAATAAATGCGATTATTAAAAAGGATCCAATACTCGTTTATAATATTAGCTGTCAATATAATGTTCAAATGTCAACGAAGACTTTAGCTAAAGGCTGTTACGGTGAAGATAGAAATAATATCAAGGTAAGACCCATTTGCATAGTAATTGGGATTTCTAATTTTAGTTCACTTTCTCTTAGTACCATTTTCTTATTTAGAAAGCATGGGGAGGGGATTTGACAGAAGAAGGGACGCATAGGATGGAAAAATAACCTTTCTGTGCACTTCCTCTGTCGATTAAAAGTATTTAAGCAACGGTTATTTGGTGAATTCATGTGGCCTTTTGCTTGTTTATGAATACATAAAATATTCTAGTGTTTTTAGTCTTGTTATTATTCATATTATAAACAATTGTGTGTTCTATGATATTATCAGATTCAAATATGTTGTTTGTATAATTTATGTCTTATAACAGTGGTCAAATCAAAGTAATCTTTTGTGCTATTCTTTGAAAATTTTTGAAATAATAAAAGAAACTAGAAATTATTATATCTTTATCTTCTTTAGAATCATTTAAATACTATTGCCAATAAGACGATCTATTAAACAGCAGACATTTTTTTGAATTAGGAATACTTATTCATCTACAAAATTGTTAATATAATTTTTTTCAGATAATCCATTGGAATTCTCCGAGTAAATACAACATCAGGATACGAGATGCGGACTATTTTAAAAATATTCACTTATCATATGTTAATTTTGATGGTAACTTGTTAAAACAGAAACTACATACATGCTCGCAAACTGAACCTGTTACATATAAGGTAAATTGTTATATATTTGCGATTCCTATATGTATATATTTTAAATGTGAAAGTAACTCTGTCTGTATGTCCTTCTTTCACGCAAAAAGTACTAAACCGATTTAAATGAAATTAACAGATAGTCTAGAACCTGGGGAAGGACATAGGCTACTTTTTAACGCGAAAAAAATGTTGTAAGGGGTTGAAATTTGTATGGAAATATCGTCTTTTTTACATATAGAAGCTTGAATTTGATATAACAAATATGACATTCAATTTTTGGAAAAGTTTTACCCTCAAGGGGTCAAAATATTAATATAAATTAATATAAATATAAATAAAGGCAATGAAATAAAATTTGATATTGTGCTAAGGCCATTCAAAAAAAAATTCCTAGTTTCTCAATCTGTATGTAATTAATACTGCAAATGTATAATTGATTTTTTCAGATAAATTATTCAGATCTATGCAGCAGCTTCCGCGCTGCGCAACGAGTTAAGTTACGCACTCATTTGTACTACATGGAGTACACGTACGCTGACATAGACAACTTTGACGTCACTCTAGTGTTGCAGCTGTCTATGGATAGACTACAGTTCCTAGAGCGATTAGTCAAATATTGGGAAGGTAATTGTCTCCTGTTCAAAATTATTGCCTTTTTTTTGTTTTATTTATTAAGATACTGAATATATAATCTTATTTCTTGCTAATATTATAAATGAGAAGGTTTAGATGGATGGATGGATGTTTGAAAGTATCTCCAGAAAGGCTGCATGAATCTAGATGAAATTTGTCATAGATATAGAACATAGTCCGGAAGAACACATAGCCTACTTATTAAGTTTTTTTTTAATTCGGCGTGGACGCAATCGCGGGCGACTGCTAGTTAACAAATAAACTAACGTTACGTACAAAATAAAACCTTTAAAAGTATCCTTCAATAATTACAGACTAATCTAAGTGACTAACAAAGAATAAATTTCTTTGTACCTTTAGTAATACGCGTAATAATTTTAAGGTCCGCTAAGTGCTGCCATCTATCTGTCAGACTGCGAGGTGACAAAATTCGAAAGCTTTATACGCGATTGGTCGGATACTCTTAGCAGTAGGAAGAATATTGGATACCATTTAGTTTTCAAACATGATGATGTAAGTGGTGAAGAGATAATTAATTAATTAATAAAAAAAAAATATAAAATATTCATTCAATACTATGTCGCCATCAGACTATTTTTTTTAATATTAGCGGATTTTTCTTAATTTACTAATATTTCTTTAACCATTCCAACTAAGCTCTATGCTTGTGCTAGGATATGGTTTACGACAATAGTCAAATGGTGGAATTCGAAACCCCGACCACCTGATCGCCACTTACTCTGTACAATTAGGCTGTTGGCGCTTATTAAAATTTTAGTTTTATAGTAAATTTTAAACCTAAAAATTGATAACAAAATTCCAGCTTTGTTAAGATGATAGCGTCTGGCGGCAACGGGATCTTGGTCTATATTTTGTGATTTTTTTATCATAAGGTGGCAAATGAGCGAGCGGCTACCTGAAATCGCTGAAATAGCGAAGTGACCGTTGCCCATAGACATATGCAATTGCATATGCGTTGCCTACCTTTGATCGACGAAGGAAAGGATGCACAGAAAGAAAATATCTTCCCTTACCATGCATCCTCTCATCGGGAAAGTCAACTTCCACTTCCCATTCTTTCCTTATTAGAAAAAGGGTGGGAAGGGAAAGAGGACTAAATTATGCCTATTTCTATTTCTTTGTAATTCTTTTTAATAACATAACAGGTACATTATCCAGTGAACTATCTTCGTAACGTAGCTTTGGAGAATGTGAACACTCCATACGTTTTCCTAATGGACGTCGACTTTGTACCTATGGCCGGACTTTACGATCACTTGAGAGATGCTGTTAAGATTATCAACCCTTATGCACAGAAAAAGGTCAGTACTAATGTATTTGAAAGCAATTTGTAGGGGAAAGCACTAGACACTCACTCACTGATATAGATTTATTACTCACAACTCACAAGAACAATTCACAATAAATGGAACAACTCAAAAAATCTTAAATTAATACAACGTATATTCAAAATAGTTACTCCAAACCATATCGCGATTCGTTATCGAACAGCGCCATCTAGTTGTGTAATCGTTACTAACACAATTACTCTAAGTTTTTTTTCAATTAATCTAATCGCATGAATCTATAGGTACTTTGGTCCTTCTAGTCGGATAATTTTTAAGATATGTATAATACAATCGAATTTGGATACATAAGAGTCACTAATCTTTATAAGAGAGAAACTAATATAAGTGAGAAAAATATCGTGTTCTCTTGGAAATTAGCTAATCCTGTTTTTATTTGACCCAATTGACAATCAAAATGGTATTAGTCACTTGTAGCCTAATCTTGACAGTTTGAAAAGTGAGATGTGTCATTACACGAGTCAAGACTTACTCAAACGACTAACCGTGGGTTTCTGATACTATTATCTCTGTATAAAATATCGTCATCCTTGTCTTTCATTTTTGATAAAACAAAGATAGCTATATGTTTTAAACGGGGATTATCGATTCAGAAACCCATAGTAAGTTTATCAGAAATGAGTATATTTTGCATACAGTCTTTAATTTTTCCGATCCTTCGAGTCGGATATTAAATTACATGATTGTTTCTTTACTTATTATGATTTTTATTTATTTTTAATCATGTTGTTTTAACATTATTTTCATTTATTTGTAATTAAACGTTTGACTTTTGAAGGCATTGAAATGAGAGGCACTTTTGTAAGATAAGGGGTAATATAAATGAGGTATGGAAACAATATGATGGATATAATATATAATTTATAGTGCCTGGTGGTAGCCGCGTTTGAGACGCAACGTTACCGTGCGTCTCCGCCCCGCAGTAAGGCCGCGTTGCGCGCTCGTCTCGCTAACGACGTGGCTCCCTTCAGAGCACGCGAGTGGCCGCGCGGACATCGCGCTACTAATTACACTAAATGGATAAATGCTAACGCACCATATAATGTAAGTTGTGTTAGTAAGAAAATCCGACACTGCGCCGGTGTACTGGCGCAACACTTAGTCTTACTAAAATGTCCACGTTTATGTCTCCTCACTAATCATTGTGACACTTGACTAAGTAACGAAAGCGCGCCATTCGCGCCAAAGGATTCTAACTAATAATGTCTAAATGTTTAAAACTTATCAATCAAGAGATTTACAACTGACCTCTATAAATGGACTGGCTATCAGACTTAGTATTTTATTCCTATTTGATTTTCGCCATTATGTCGCCAAGATGGTGGTGTGAACTTGAATAATATAGATAGAATTAACTATTACGTAACATCAACAGGCGAGTTTAAATTGGAACAAATGAAAGCTGTAATTTCCAAACGATCGCCTATCCATTTATAGAGATTCGTATACTAACGAGAATAACTTTTCCTTTCTCTAAATATTAGTACATTTTTGTATATTAACATTTTTTATATCATTTCAACTATACTAAGCTTGGGCTAGGTTCATCACAATAGTCGAAATGTTGGGATTCGAACCTTTGACCGATTAATGAATTGTGTGTTGGTTTTCCCCAGGTCGAATGGCAGTCAGACTACGAACCGTATTTGGTAGTCCACCGTTCGGTTCCCAAATACGATACAAGATTCTCCGGATTCGGTTGGAATAAAGTAAGTAGTACACTTAGTTAATTCATAATCCGGTTTTATAATCTACTACCAAATTACTGATTCAGAATAATAACCAAACTTTTTATTTTTTTCTAAAAAATCTTCAATGTTTTTTTAACAAAAAAAATATCTAAAAGTCTGATTTTTTATCGTTTGGCATGGAAATACGATTAAATTACATTTATACTAGCTTTCTCCCGCCACTCTATCCTTGTAGTATCGAAAATAAACTTAATAAGAAGCCTATGTGATCCAGACTATGTTCTACATCTATACCAAATTTCACCAAAATCCGTTAAAGCGTTCTACTGATACCTTCTTACAAACATCCATGTAAACATTTGCATTTATAATATTCGTAAGATAATAATTTTAATTTAATTTATGACTTCAGGTGTCTCACAGTGTAGAACTCCGCGCCCAGGGTTACCAAGCCGTGGTGCTGCCTGGCGCGTTCGTAGTACACACGCCTCATGCTCCTTCACACGATATTACTGCCTTCCGCGCAGACCCGCACTATCGTGTGTAAGTGCCTTTATATACTAGCTGTCGACCGTTACACCGTTCGCACCGAATTAAAAAAAAATTAGTAGCCTATGTGTTCTGCCAGACTATGTTCCACATCTATACCAAATTTCAGCGAGATCCATGTAGCCGTTCTGAAGTTACTTTCTAACAAACATTCAAGCAGCAACTCCCCCCCCCCCCCTACGACGCTATACAACAGTCCAGATAAGATTTTTGAAAACATGGATATTTAGCTATAGTTGGATTTTAAATTGTATAATTAAAAAAATATATATTAGAGTAGATTAAGACAAATTAAAAAAAAATTATGGCCTTATCACCCTTAACTTAGGGTAGGCTCCGAGCCCCTCGGTGGGGACATATAGTGAGCTGATGATGATGATGATGATGAAAAAAAAATTCTAACAATTTTCAGATGTCTAGCGATACTAAAGCAAGAGTTTATGGACGACCTCAAAAGGAAGTACAACGTTACATTTGAAGAACCATCGAAACAAGAATCAATTTATTTAGGACAAGCTAAAAGCTTACTTCATAATCAAAAGGATAAATTATAATAATTTTAAAATGATAAGTATCAAGAAAGTAAGTTTTCGCACGTAAATAAAACAGAAAAGTATCAATTACTAATAAAAAATATACAATAGGATAAAAAAAAATCTAGTTTCAGAAAAATGTCATAAAATTGAAATGTGTGCTAGTTGATATAATGCGAAAGTACAGATGTATGGACGTATGGATGGATGATTATCAGCAGATAATTTCAAAAAACTAAAGATATCTGGAGGAAATTATTTCTATCTGGAACTGCGTATAGACAACTCATTTTTTTCTTCACGAAGTAACAAATCAAATAATATTTCACACATTACTTTTCCAACAAATATTACAAATAATATTTAAGTATAAATAAATGAACAATAATTAAGAGCGTTGGTGGCTCAGGGGTGAAGAACTTGACTTACAATCTGCAGGTCCTAGGTTCGAATCCCGCCATGTACCGTTGTGTTTTGCGATATCCGATTTACATACACATTTATCCGACGTTCTTACGGTGAAGGAAAACATCGTGATGCAACCTGCACATATCTGAGAAGAAATTCAAAGATATGTGTGAAGTCAACCAACCCGCACTTGGCCAGCGTGGTTGACTATGGCCTAATCACCTTTGATTAAGGGTAGGCTCCGAGCCCCTCAGTATGGGACGTATAGTGAGTTGATGATGATGAATTAAAATGTTTAAATTTACAAAAAAAAAAAGAAAAAAAAAATACAAATCCTGTGTATTGTGATTCCAGATTTTTTTTTATTTTTGTGCTAGATAATGCTAAATATTTAGGTTTATGCTATATTTCTAACTTGCTTAAACTTTCCACTATATAGGTAGGCTATAAATATAAACCCTTAACTTAGGGTAGGCTCCGAGCCCCTCAGTGGGGATGTATAGTGAGCCGATGATGATGATGTTCAATAAGAAATAATAAAGAATTTTGTAATAACTTTATGAATAGTTATAAGAACAATGAAAATGGCTTTACATAATATTAAATGGTGATGAAATTTTTTTTTTACATTTAATTTTTGTTTGTTGAAAAACTCAATTATTCAACAAAAGTATTTTTTATTATAATTTTCAATATTAAGTTTCCGCTTTACAATTCACTAGTATTAGAGTTTGTTTGTTTAAAAAAAAAACATAAAAAAATGTTCTATTAGTTACATACATTTTTTTAATAACAAAAAGTCAATACGTAATAATAATAAGTAGAAGGAATATTTTTTTTTTTAAATGACATCGAGTAAAATATAAATCTGCTTAAATAATAATTTATTTATTTTTATTGAGTATTTTTTTTATTTTTTTATTAATTGCGATAGTTTTAAGATTTTTATTATCTTGCTTTTTTATATTGCAGCTGTAAAAAATTAAATTATAACAACTGTATTCTTATATACATATATATTTTTTTAATTTGTTTACAATATGTTTTACTAAAAATAAAATCTTATTTTTAAACACATTTTTAAGTTTTTAATTGTATTAAACAAATTAGATAACATATAAATTAATTAAGAATAATTAAAATAATGCAAGAAATTGTGTAGATTTTACAATGATTCCTAAAATTACCAAAGTTAAAAACCCTTATAAGTTCTATTCCTAAACAAAATTATTTTTTTTTAATGTTTATTTAATTTAAAGATGTTATGTATCTACAATTGTTTATTAAAATATGAAAAATAAAAATAACATGTCTGTAAAAAAAAATAACATAAAAAAAAATTGTCACCTCGGAATTAAAGCATAATACACATGTTACATTTTTTAAAATGCTTATTCTATCATATTTATGCCTTTATATTCTAAATACTTTGTAATTAATGCGAAAAATTTTGTAAATGCTTACTCTGAAAATCCCAAAAATGTTGTAAGCTTGATTTTGTATTATTAATCTAAGAAAAATGATTAAAATATAACATTACAATCACTTTTATATGAAATTTTATTTTAGTTTTTACATTCAGGCGATTGATGCAATGTCCCAAAAAAGTTTTTATTTCATGTATGAAAATATATAAGAAAAAAAATTTTGTTCATAACAACTTTTTTATTTATAGATAATAAATCTTATCTCTCCGTAAAGAAATTAAATTAACTAAACTTAGCTTAGTATTTCAATATTCCTTATTTAAGATTCCAGTTTCAGTATTAGTCAAAAAAATATTACTCTTCGGACTTTCCTTTGATATCAAAAGCCACAATAAAACAATAATTTGAAAATCTAATTCTTGTATATCCTTTTTTAAAGTTTCCACAGCTTTCTTAGCGGATAACAAAGGAGAAGTATCATTCATAGAAGATCCCTTCTGTTCTGTTCTCTGCTTAATATTTTCTACCTTTGCAGTCACTTCATTCAATTTCTCCTGTCGTTCAGTAACTCCGGCACTCACTTCTTTATATTCATCAGTAGCTTTCTTTAGCTCGTTCAAAAGTGAACCATATTCTTTAACAAGAGGTTCAAATTGTTCGTTCAGAATATTTTCACGTGCAGAAACTTTATCCATTACTGAACTAATGTTGTTGTGTACTTTGTTCAATTGTGATCCAGTTGTTTTGAGTCTTTCCAATAGTTCATTTTTGTAGGTTTCCATTTGAGATAATCTCGCTCGCCAATCTCGTCCATCAGCCGATATTTTCAATCTTAAAGCTGGTGCAACTCTTTCTAATTCCAATTTCCATTCTTCCCAATCATGTACCATAGTAACAGATTTCATTGATTCTTTTTCCTCTTTATTCTCGTCACCAGAATCATCTGAATGACCGATCATCTCTTCTTCGATTTTATCGAGAAATATTTCTGTCTCATCTTCTATTTGATCGACGTCATCTGATAATTCTTCAGGATCAGGGATATCGATGATTGGTTTCTCCCATTCAAAATTTTCTTTTTTGAACGCCTCATCGGCCAAAACATTCAAAATATAACAGACTTGGTCTCCATAACCTTGTTTGAGTTTGTGTGAAGAGAAATCAACGGTTATTTCTCTTTCACGTAGTACGTCTAGTATGCTTGCTATTGTTGCATTGGGATCGTCTTCTTCGTTAGGCTGCTCAAACTCTTGACCAGTCTTCCGGATGAGCCAGGCGGCAGTAGATGCGAAAACGAAGAATTGCTCTACAGGATTTGTGGTGGTGAGGAAATAATAACGACTCATTGGTTTCATTTTGATCTGTGGTCGTAATTCCGTGTCGATTTTTAGTAAACGTAATTTATCCATTACATTCAAATCCATCCCTTAAAAGCACGATGTCTATGGTGAAATTTCTAAACGTTTGAAAGAACCTTTTAGGTATAAATTCCAGTATTTTGTGATTAATTCAATGCACAGCATATCGCTTCGATTTCAAAAACAATGTTTGTATTTACGTCGTCATGGTAACGCCATAGATTAAGTTTGGAACGTCCCTTTTCATGTGCAAAGAGTATTTACTAAGTCGCCTCGTAATAGTTGTTGGCAGTAGGTACTCATTTCTATCACAATCTAGGCCAATTACCAGAACTTATGTAAACAAAAGCTTTTTACTTCAGTTGGCAGCTAAAAATCAAGGTCAAGGGAAGTAACTGAAATATTTTGGCACTAACATGTAACTCTGGGCACCGACCAGTGCTCCAAATATTGTAATGTTTGGAAACTATAACAATAGATGTCGGGGGACGAAAATATCAATGCCATTATGAATTTTTGGCAATGATATGTCATTTGGCGTCCATCTGACTGAGCATGAACAAAGTTAGACGATGTCTACTAATATTAGATCAATCAACCCGATAGTCTAAATGCGAATATTTCAATGGATATTTTTCTATCTAGAACAGCAGTACAGATCTTCCTGAAATTTGGCATATATGTATAGTCTGGAAGAACACATAGGTTACTAAGATTTATTAAAACAGGACGGAGACGCAGGCGACAGCTAGTATAAGTACGATAAGCCTAAGTTTCATAATTATATGAGGGAAGTTCCACATAAAAATATTCAGGTTTTACCTATGCCCCTGGAGCTCTATGACTTTCAAAAGGGCTTATTAAATTATCTTGTAATCTATTACCAAATTAACGCCTATATTTCCATAATAAATACAAAATGACGTCATTCTTACTATTTAAAACCTCCTTAACCATAAACAACAAACGGTTGACGAAATTTTCCTGCGCCTGTTTGTGAATCAGCATTGAATGTCAATATGTTATCTTTGTTTCAGAGGAAGTGATTCAACGTATAATCCATAGTTTAATCTCCATTTGTGTCGACTCTAACAAATGCTTTAAAAACAAAGTTATTAGAGTCCGCACAAAAAGAGATAAAAGCAAATTAATAATTGTTTCACTTGCATCAAACATCTTCATTGTTTAAAGCATAACTTTCAAAGCGCAACCTTTTCAGTGCACGAAAACTGCACCAGTAAAAGACCTTCACATTTCGCAACCAACGCTCTAAAGTTCACTCAAACGAGGTACAAAGCAATCGTTATTTAGGCGTTCTCTTTTAAATATATATTTTACTTCGTCTTCAAAACGTTTTTGTTTCGATAAAACAAATATCCGTAAAGAAAATATTTAACTTTACCGTAATGTTTAGAACGAGAAGGAAGAAAGATAATTTCATCAGTAGAAATAATTATAATTAGTTGCATCTTGTTTTTTATAAAACCCACCTGACGTAAAGAGTTACATCTCTCTCATTAGACATGTAACCCTTTACGTTGAATATGTTAATATGCGTTAAAGGTCAATTCAGTTCTACATTTTCGCTAACTCTTGTACAAAGTGCGGGTAGTCATAAAAATCTTAAAGCATTGGATATATTGTGAGTGATGACTATCAGTTTACGATGGATGTTCATCACAGAGGTTGCTATCAAAAACTGTACAATATTGTCCGGTTAGACTTGTGCAAAAACAAATAAAAAAGCTCTAATAAAGAGCGGCTTTATCTCGTGTTACTGCGTCGATAAAATTAGAATCGACAGGCAGCGCCTGCGCAACGTCAGTCGCGATCGAGCGCCCGCGGTGATCGAACGCGCTCAACGTAAGCTAGCACAATTATAGTCTCGTTTCTTTTGTTAAACATTAGTTTGAGTGAATTTTAATCTTGTGCCTGTGTATGACACGTTGGATGTGCAATTACTTGTGAAACAGCCGAATTGGAGTCGATTTTCTTGTACCTGTGTAATGTGTATAAACTTGTAAAAGGTAAGTTCGCTTATACGGCGATTGGGATTTGAAAGTGGCGGCTTTTTTTAATTTATTGGAAGTAGAAGCTACCGGTATGTGGGTCTGCGAAGTCCGTGTGCGACTCTCTTGCGACAGTGTCACCCGGTTAAGCCTCTCGACCGTTAGCAAGACAAGACCATGCCCGATGCAGATACTCGAGTAGTCATAAGTTAGGCGCCGAGTGAACGGCTCATTGGCCATTTTATTTTGCCTTTTATATCGAGTTCTTTTAGACAAGAATTATGAGCATTCATTATTTATATTTGTATAATTCCTTTCATAATTATCAGTAAGTTAGTTATCTTCTTTTTTGAATTTATTTGGTAAAGGTAAAGGTCGCAAAGCAATGAGGGTATTTACAAAACATAAGATTTTGAAACTATTATTTATTTTGTTTGTTCTAAATTTGCTGTGTGCATATCAAAACTTTTGTAATTTTTTAATTGAAGTTTAATTTCGATAAACTAAATAACAATACATAAAAAAAACATTTTTATTGTGATCTATTAAGACTTTATAATGCAATTACTAAACAAAATATTAGATTAGTCAAGGAATAAATTTTTCATCTTTCGATTGAAAAGAAATAATTTATCGAAACGCCGACTTAACGTCGTTTAAAGGTGACCCACATGTTAAACATTTCCAATAAGATTAAATCTTAAGCCTTTTGGGAGAAGACGAAAGCACTCTTGGGTGTGTACTTCAGATGAGTTAACAGTACGGCCGATAGGAAAGAAGTCTTGAAAACTCTGACAACCAAAAGAGTCATTGGCATTTCTCTCAGTCACATTAAAAAAGAACCCAACAACAAGTTTGTTATGGCGATGCATTTTGGTGTCCTACGACCTTATTTTTAGTTTCTACATTTAACTGCAGATAATTGGTTCAATCTTAGGTTTGAAAGAGGTGCAATAGTAGTAATCATGTTGGTGTAATTGTATGATTGATAAAAAAACATGGTCGCGAAGACCTATAAAATATTCTATCTATGTACCATGTAGTATATCAAGATTTAAAAAACATGATGTCTTGGAAACCACCTGATTAAACTAGCGCTTGTAGCTCAAACCAAAACAAAGTTTGAATATCTATCGATATTAACTAACTACATTGGCGCGATCAACAAAATGGGATCTTAGCCTTCGACACTAAGAGTCTCCAGCTTTCGTGATCACCTCGGCTCAGTCGTTCAGCTGTTCGTTCGGATCTGGAACCCTTAGCTGTATCATGAAGATGTTTTAATGACATAGCAACTTTCCATTAGGTAAAGGTTATTCTTAATTACGTGTCAATCTACCGGACGCTAATATAATGTTGGCCGCAAGCCATATTTTTATCAACATGATTTTTTATTGCACGTAATTTTGTGATATCCGATGACAATGATTAAAGTTGATACGCTTACATGAAAAAGATAAACAAGTCTTATCACTTGTAACGATGCTGTTATAGGAAATATTCATTAATTAATCTTTTTCTTGAATGGTAAAATCAAAAATTATCCGACGTTCTTATGGTAAAGGAAAACATCGTGCTACAACCTGCACGAAGAAATTCAATGATATGTGTGAAGTCAATCAACCCGGACTGGACTAGAATTGATTTAGGGTAGGCTCCGAGCCCCTTAGTGGGGACGTGTAGCTGATGATGATGTAAATCAGAAAAAACTATGCTTTAGTGGAAGAAACCTATAACGTAGTAATTATATTAATCACAATTAAGATCGATTGGAGATTTACACGATGAATCATAGTCAAAAAGGAATTAAAATTTTAACTAACAAATATAAACACGAATAGAAACAATATGGAACTAAATCATTATCTAATTCAATTAAAAAAATAAACAGAAATAGTGCCAAATTTCGGTCACGTTTTCCGTTCGCTAGCTGGATTTAAGAATAGACAACGCGTGAACCCTCACTTGGCAACTATGTTCATTAAAAAAACAAGAAACATCGTAAGTGACATTTTTTCTATTGTTCAATGTAATTTCTGTGTATAACTGAACAGAATAATAACGACATAATTATTTTTAACACGCGTATATATTTAATTCAAACGCATTGCATTAAACCATGCATACAAGTATTCTGAGAAAAAAAAAAGTTTTAATTGCCGTGAAATACTGCAAATGACAAGATGCTGTCATCGTTTTGGCAAGAAAATGAATATGAAATGCATTGAGATTTCAAATACGTTTAAGAATTAAAGAACGAAAAAAACTTTTATGTATTTAAGTAAAAAATGTGCGAGCGGCACAGGACCGGGGTTTTGTTGCAATCGATGGGGGAGGCCTACATCCAGCAGTGGACAAGTTTAGACTGAGTATGATGATGATGATGATGAAGTAAAAAAAAGTTCGTAATAAATTTTTCAAACTTAATGCATTAAAACATGCACTGGGCTACTTAAATTAAACTTTCCTATTTCTAAACAGTAGTATTTTTAAAGTTACATAAAATACAGAAACGACCAATCCACTGAAAAAGGTTATATCTGTAGATATCTCATAAGAGATGTAAGTAACTCTTTATTCCATGGAAGATGGGTCGGGTGCTGGTATGGGATGCAACCTGTTCAGACACGCTGGCCCCTTCCCATCTACATGGAACCAACAACATAGCGGGTGCGGCTTGTGAAGCGGCTGAAAATGCAAAAGCATGCAAATACAGGGGTCTAGGCTCCGAATATCATTTTGTCCCATTCGGCGTCGAGACCCTTGGTCCGTGGGGTCCTAGCGCTTTAAGACTTTTTAAGGACATTTCCAAAAAATTAATCGACATCACAGGGGACCGAAGAGCTCCTCGGTCAAAGAATTAGTTTAGCTGTACAGAGGGGGAACGCTGCCAGTATCTTCGGGACCGTGCCTAAAGGGACTCCTTTTATTAACATATTTTAGTTAATTATTCGGTTTTTTTTCTTTTTCAATTTTATTTACTGTCCTAATATTTTTAATATACTTTTTAGTAACTCTTTACGTCGGAGTACTGTGACATTCTACGTTACACTATTTCACAACCAAATGAATTCCACTGGAGTATTAAATTGCGAAAGAAATCTAATCAGTGTTGTTTCGCGACGTGGACGTGCGAGGTATGCAAAAAAACATGCATTTCATTGCATTTATCGCGAACGTTTTGCAAGGAACACGTCCTACGTATGCGATATGCTGAGTCAGACAAATTGCAAGTCAAGACTTACACTGATACAAGCTGTCGCCCGCGAGTCCGTCCACTTGGAATTAAGAAAAAAAAATCTTTTTAACCTGTTGATACGCTTATACGTTCTTGGCATATTTCAGCGAGATCTATACAGTCGTTCTGAAGATAACTTCAAACATCCATCCGTAGAAAATGTAACGCAAATATTCCGATATCATTGAATTTCAGAAAGTTATTTTAGCGTATTTATCTTACAGTTTTAAGCTAATAATGAACATCTGCACTTGAATAGGCATAATAAAATACCGTATTCAAACAACAAGAGAAATACATATTAAAAAAGATAACCAATGGCTATTCATCCAAGTTTTTTATTGCACGTAATTTGTTATTTAAAATAAAGTTCCGTGATCCTGAGCCAACATTACTTTTCCTTATTCATACTCATCAAATCTTAAATGATGTATACACTATTACGTAGATATTGTAAATTAAATTTAAAAAAACCTTTAGATTTCAATCAAATTATAAATTGACATCTTAATAATCAAATTACAGTAATATCAAATCGTTAGAAATAATGGACTATTCAATTAGTAAATTTGGACACCATTTTGTTTTACGAACGAAAAAAAACCGAATATATTTACACACACAGTCGCACGGCACAATAAATACGAAACAAGGTCAAGAACATAATGCCTATAGCTATTTACATTTAGACTAAAGAATATTATTAATTCGTTCAAATAAAATTTCGCTCCATGTTGCCAAATCTCTTTTGTTGAAAAATAACGTCTGGACGTTTTGACTTCGCCACATACCTATAACTGTGGACGATCTTTTAAAATTAAAATACCAAAGAAGCTAAGAATATGAATTAATTGACATACTTATCGATCAAATTAGTCAAGCTATACTTCCAGCATATAAAAGTTACAATGGACGGGCATATCTTCTAAAAAAATCATCATGGAACGAATTGCTTCGTGGGCATCAAAAATAATAACAGACATTGAGGAAGCAGAAGATCCTGTAATTGAATGAAATACAAAATTAATTTGGAAAGAAAAAAAATTACTAATCTTACTTTTTACTAATATTACAAATGCGAAAGTGTAAATGGATGAATATCAATAGATCTAGATAAAATTTGGCACCGTTGTAGTCTGAAAGAACACATAGGCTACTTATCAAGGTTTTCTTAATGCGCGGAGTCGCGGGCAAAAACTAGTTATTCAATTAATTAGTCCGTACTTCAACCACAGCGATATAAGGTCGTTATTTCAATATCATTATGAATCGAAATGTAAAATCTTTTTAATATTAATTGTTTGTGTTATCGATAAAAAAAACGCCACCAACTTTTCCGCATTTAAATATCACTTAAAAAGCACTTGGATACGTCGGACACATTAATAAACAAAAATGCCTTTTAAAGACCTAATAAAACTGATAAAACATGAAGGTACGAAGTTTCTTCTGGTCGCACGAAAACCAGTTTCACTGAGCCTTGAAAAAGGAACGGCTTGTATGCATAATAAACGTTGAAACACTTTTGCTCAATAATTATGTTCGGATTAGAATTTTACTTTCGAAAATTTTCGTTTTAATTTAAACATCGATAAGTTCAACGAATATGGTATTATAGATAGTAGGCTCCGAGACCCTCGGTGGGGACTTATAGTGAGCTGATGATAATAAATCGTAACAGGCTTAAAACTGTTCCCTTAGAATTTAAATGATCAAAGTAAACCAATATAAACAACATTTAAAATGCAAAAGACTAGACTAGACTTTACCTATTAGTAAA